GCACTGGCAGCTTCGTCACTTCCTTGCATTTCGCCCATTTTACCATAACTACATGAGCTTGCCATGTCTCCAGGCTTGTGCAAGGTCAGCAGGTTTGCAGTGCTATTGCAATATATGCAATAATTTCTTGTTGTAGTTGTGCTACTACTTATGTAAACAGTACTATTGAGTGAAGCGGCCTGAAGGCTGCAGCATGTTGCTTGGCTGTGAAAGCAAAATACATGTCTGGATCTTTGTCACCTACGTTTTGTGGATTCCCAAAACAGGCTGAGCACGTGATGTCACTTTTTGGTTGTGTGCTTTGCTGAAAGTGATTTGTATATTGTATCATGTGTTTTTGGCCAGTCATATGTCAGCTGCGGAGTTAATACAAGAATGCACGCTTGACGAATCTTCTCATGATGGAATTTAATATAAAAGCAGCAGGGATTGCAGTGCAAAAGCTGCATCACTGATCATTATGCCACGCCACAGCACAGCACTGAGGAAGTGCCACAATGATCCCTGTTGACCAATGCCATTACAGAATGTACCGCAATGGTTGACCGCTCTATATCAAACCTATGAGATAGCAGTTATAATTTATGAATGATTGGTGCTAATCGACTTAACGTTGCCAGAAGGCTATCACCAGCGAGAATGTCACTGCACCACAATGGTTATATCAGGATTACCTAGCGATTGCATAAATAATCCTGAGTAAGAAAAACGTTCTTGATAGCTCAAGCTTACCATCTTTACCATAGAAATAGGAATGTTATCAATTCTTATATTAAATATTTATTTAATAACTATTAAATACATAATTCTTGTTAATTTTTGCAGGTGATGGCATTTCCAGTTACAGAAAAAAGGAAGTAACTACCATGCATGTCACAAGATGTCAATGCCATGACGACACCATGCTGTCAGGACTAGAGCAGAACGTCAAGACTACAGCAAAGACAGGACTGCGTTAGATAGCCTTGATGGCACTGCAGGCAAAGATAAGTCGACAATACAGTATTGACATCCTCTATAGTCCTTGGCGAATTTTCATAAGAGATTCATGACACTGGATGACAGTTTTCATAGCACATAGTGCTTTGATATTAAAAGAGAATGAGGACCCTGAAATCTTGAGGACCTTTTGATGAGTTCATGGCCATGCCCTTTTTAAGATTGAAAGCTCTCTGGTTCCTGAATTATACGTCCGCAAAAGTGGCAAAAGGCTTATTTAGGGACTATTTCAAAGCCACCTCCGCAATGATGATGTTATAGAAACGTCATACGATCACGATAATCACGCACCTTGTGCGCATCAGCAGCTTCACCACTTGCTTGTATTTCGCTGATCTAACCATAACTGCAGACACTTGGCACGTTTCCAGAGTTGTGCAAGGTCAGCAGGTTTGCAGTGTCATTTTACATGTAACATTTTATTGTTATACCTGAATGAAGCAGCCTGATGGCTATAGCACGTTGCATGGCTGCAGAAGCAGAAGGCGTCTTTGCACCTTTGTCACCCAAGTTTTGTGGATTTCCAAAACGGACTGAGGAAGTGTATCACTTATTGATTGTGTGCTTGCTGAAAGTGATTTATATATTGTATCATGTGTTTTTGGTCAGTCATATGTCAGATGCCGAGTTAATACAAGAATGCATGCTTGACTAATCTTTTCAGGATGGAACTTATTGTGAAAGCATCAGAAAGTGTTGTACAAAACCATACCATTGCTCATTATGTCATGCCACGGCACAGCACTGAGGTAGTGCCACGATGACACTGTTGATCCGTGTCATTACACAATGTGTCACATTTGTTGACTACTCTATGTGACGCCTATGAGATAACAGCTCATAATTTATGAATGGCTGGTAACAACTGATTTAACAACGCCAAGGGCTACCAACAGTGAGAATGCTGTTGCACCACAACGGTTATATCAGGGTTTACTAGTAATTGCCTAAATAATCCGAGGCAAAAAAAAAAACACATTTTTGGTACCTCAGCCTTACCATCTTTACCATAGAAATAATAATGTTTTGGCAGTCAGTTCATAGCAATGGTACGGATTTATTTATTTTTGCATGCAACTGCATTTCAAGTTAAAAATAATAAGGAATGTAACTACTGAACGCATCACATCGTATCAACGTCAGCATTACAGCACTGCAGGCAAGCATAAGTCGGCAGCACAGTATTGACATCCCCAATAGTCCTTGGCAGTTTTAGGTACGGGATTCACGACAGTCTTCACAGCATATCGTGCTTTGATGTTAATCATCTTCCTTAAAAGCTGGCGATCCCTACGAATGTCAAGCCTTGCGTATGTCAAAAAGCTTGCGTATGTCAACCAGCCCGCCAAACGTTCTCTTACGGCCAGTACCAAGACAAAGAATCCACAAACAAGCTATTCGCTAATCCACCGCCCACCACAGCGCCCACGACGGGAATGGCTTGTTGGCGTCAGCTTTCCTGCGTTTCAAGGTATTCTTTAGGTCTGGGCGCCAGATGCTGCCAGGTATTGCTGTCGTCACAAAGCCATTCCATGACGCCATCAAACAATGACGTAGTGAGGCGCTTTTTTGCAAACTTTGAAATTTTGCTACGTAGGGTTGTTTCTGAAGCATGAAAACTTACCAATAGTTACAAGTAAGTTTTTCCCGTGATATATGATGTATACCTTAATATTTTCAAATGTGGAACATTCACTTTAATAGTCTGTCATAAAACCTGGCGATCGCTACGTTGCGTATGTCAGAAAGTTCACCAAACCGTTTCACCCGACCAGTACCAAGGCAAACAATCTGCAAACAAACCACTCACTAATTCGCCACCCGTCATAGCACACGCGACGAGAATGGCTTGTTGGTGTCAACGCTTTTGCGCGTTTCGAGGCATTCTTTAGGTTTTCGAGGTGTTCGAGGTGTTCGAGGTGTTCTTTTGGCTGCCAGATGCTGCCAGGCAATGCCGTTGTTACAAAACGATTTCATGACGCCATTGAACGATGACGTAATGAGGCGCATTTTCACAAACTTTGAGTTTGCTACTTGGCTTCGTCTTTAAGCCTTGAAAGCTTACCAATAGTTACAAGTAAGCCTTTCCCATAATATCTGATGCTTATCTCAATATCTTCAAACATGAAATATTCCCTTAAAAGCACCACAAACTGGCATCGATAGTTCAATGATGCGTTAGACACTGTACCTATTAACGTCTTCGGTGTCTGCCAGCCTGATTGCGGTGTGTAGATCGTGCTAATGGGACTCAGTCCAGTCTTCCCTGTTGTAAGCATGGACATAACATGAATTCGAGATTAACAATAATATAAGAAATAAATAAAGCTATGGTTCCCTGCTTCCACAGATAACGTCCTCATTCCGACCAGAGGTCACGAGACCGTCGAGGTCATAGCAACTGATGATTTTAGGCAACCTTAAAGCATGAAGTTGGACAACATGTAAAACGCCACGCAAAAATTTAGCCGTCGAGCTGCTTAAGCCCGACCGGTATCTCAGACTGTTACTTCAATAAACCCAATCGCAATTTCAATTGTCAGTTCCGAGCACCGAGCCACAGCCGTCCCGCACGCACACGCAACCCGGTCCACATCCCGACAGATAATGTATTTTCAAACCCGGCGCGCATCCAACGTTGCCTCGGGCGTCAGTGCTACCAAAGAAAGTGGCGGCATTCACCACGGAGACTACGAAAATCCCCTGCGCGGTGAGCAACTGCTCAAAACAGCGCAGCTTTTATTACATACTCCCCACTCGAAATTACTCTAATTTCGAAAACCTTACAACATTATACAAAGGAAACAAAACAGTGGCAATACAACGGAATAGTTATGCTTGTCTAGTTACATCGTGCAGAGCCAGGAACCTCGACAACAAAGCATCACACACTAGAGGAACCATAAGACCCTTCATATCCTCCGCGCTTCACTCCGGTGATGCCTCCAAGCGGTACAGCTTACTAAGTGGGCGTCGAGTGCGCCTGCCATGCAAGAACATCACAGCTGCCCGAGAGTGTCAGTCGGGACCTCGCAGCAGTGAAACGACACGCGCCAACGGCCACCGACCTCGTGGCCCCCCGCCACGTACCAGCACCACCTCATTCGGGCTGGGCAGACGGCAGGGCCGCCCGTCGGGGAGCTGCTCCAGCTCCGTAGCGCCTGTAGATACTCAGACCTCCAGCGCCTGATCAAGTGGTCACACACCCTCTTCCGATGCCTCCAGGCTCTATTGACAGGCGTTTCACTTAGCTTCGGACACAGAACGCCATCTATGGTGGTAACACCAAAGAGCAGATGTGCAGGAGTAAGCAAATTTTCACCATCTCCCTGGGTGAGAGGCCTGAGGTTGAGGTAAAAGCCGAGCTCATACAAAATAGCAGACAGCTCATCATAGCTCAGATGAGACTGATGCAGGGTTACTCGCAAAGCTGTCTTGGTAACACCAACTAATCGTTCCCAAAATCCTCCCCAACATGGGGCAGCCTCGGTGATGAAACGCCAGAACACAGACGGCGGAAGATCGCCCAGCAAGGCGTGAAATGTGGGAGCATTTCAAGATGATGGTAGGAGTGCCACGCAGAGCGAAGAACCGTCTCAGAGCAATGATTAGATCATTGACAGCCTGACAATGGACCAGTTCAAGGTGGATGGCGCGTGATGTTGCACACGTGATGAGCAAAGCCCACACTTTCTTCGAAGCACCGTCCACGTACAGCGGTCCGAAGTAGTCCACGCCTACTTTGGTAAATGGACGGCACGGCTCAGTCCTGAAACTTGGCAGGGTACCCTCTGGGGACCGATACGGTAGTCCTCTATACCGACGACATCGGCGACAGGTTTCGACGACCCGTCGGACAGTCCGTCTACGTACCAGGTACTCGGCTGAGAGAAGAGACAGCGTGACACGCGTGCTTTGATGGAAGCATCGTCTATGCGCGTCGTCCACAACCAGAGTGGTGATGTGTGCCAGGTCTGGTAGGATTGTCAACGGACGCTCGCCTGTGCGCAGCGTTGTTACCAGGATGCCCTCGTTGTTAAGCTGGGGTCGGAGTCGGGCGAGTTGCGAACCCGCGGGCAGCAGCTCCCGAGAACGCACCGCATCGATCTCATCTGGGTACGCTCGGTTCTGTGCATCACTGATCCAGAAGTGCAGACCTTTCCTCTTCTGTTCTTGCGTCAGTGGTCCTGATAGTCGCTCAGACTTCGGTCTGCGGCTGTTGGCAATGAATTGGTGCACACACGCTACTTCGTTTGCCGCCTGGGCAAGGTTAGAGCATGCCGTCACATCGAACAGGTGACACTCCCCACGATGTGTGGACTGCATTACAGTGCGGACAGGCCTCTTCAGCTCCAACTCTACCTCCGGAGTGGGACTGAGACGATCAGGGGTAAGTGACCGGGGTAAAGGAACGCCAGATGTCGAGTCACGTTGAAGGAATGCTGGGCCTCCCCGCCACAGGTCACATTTCTCCAGCGTGCAGAGTGACATACCCCTAGTGCCCAGGTCAGCTGGGTTGTCTGCTCCTCTGACATGTCGCCATTGTTCAAGACAGGACAGTTGCTGATTAGAGGTCACCCTGTTCTGCACAAACACCTCCAACGTTTTCTTGCTCTGTAGCCAGTACAGCACGTCCATGGAATCTGTCCAATAGATGATGTATGTCTCCTTCAGGTGGAGAGCCTGCTTGACAAAATCCATGAGTCGACAGCCGAGCACAGCTGCCATCAGCTCGAGCCTAGGTATGGCAAGGGCGGGGTCGATAGGAGCCAGTCGGACCTTTGCCATCAGAAGACGTGATTTCTTCCCTCTACAACGTATACGACACAGCAGCACGCTCTCCTCGACGCATCGCAGAACACGTGGAATGTTAGATCACCCGTGGAGCTCAGAGCAGCGCGAGGAAATCTCACGAATCGGTTCGCCGTGTCGCGACGCCATATTCTCACTTCCTCCTGAAGTGCCTGTGGAAGACTGGCGTCCCACTCGGCTGTCTTTGTCTCCTTCCAGGTTCTCTGAAACAAAACTTCGTCGACGACGAGCCATGGTGATAACAAGTCTAAAGGGTTGAACGGCTTCGACACCGCCGCTAACAGCTGTCGTTTGGTGGCTGGGCAGTCCGTGATGGGCACGCAGACTGCGAGGCTGTCTGTGCTGGTACGCCACAGCAATCCTAGCACTTGTGCATTGGGTGAACTGTCACCAGAGGTTCGCAGCTCGCGGAGGTTCATGCCTGCTTCTGAGAAGATGTCTGCCGTCTTCTTCACGTTCTGATCAGCCTCTGCTCTGGTGGCGAAGGTGGTACAGACATCATCCATGTACAGGCCAGCTTCCAACTTTTCACAAAGCTCTGGTTCTGAGGCGCGGTATTTCGCCAGGTGAGTGGAGGTCGTCTGTAACAGCATGTATGGGGAGCACGACAACCCGAATGGCACACGTTTAAACCTGAAACATTGGTTAGCCCAGATGAACTGTATATACTTTCGATCCTCTTCGATGACAGACACCTGGTGGAAAGCGGACTTTATGTCGGCTTGTGTGGCTACATCGTGTCAACGAAAGTTCAGCACCGCAGCAGGTAGGCGTCGCAGCAGATTAACACCAGGGTCTAGGTACTCATTCAGACTCTTGACTGAAGCATCCTTGGCAGATCCATCATACACGACTCTCAACTTGCCGTTTCGCCATATTCCTCTGTGGGGTAGATAAAAGCCGGCCGTACCTTCTTTTGAAGAGGTCTCGATGACAGAGCTCTGCAGCAGACTGTCGATGTGAGAGCCATATTCCGAATGTTGAGCTGGATCTAGTCTGCTTTCCATGCGCCTGGTGCGGATAGACGTAGCATGGTGGTTATTGACAAGGCGCTCATCGGAGGCCCACAACAGGCCCATCTCGTACCGGTGGTCCTCCTCGTTCCATGTCGGCCTAGAGCTTGAGGTCTCCTTCAACACAGGGTCAGTGAGCCCGACTGAGTTCAAAGTCCACATCTGTTAGACATTTTCCATCTGGCGACATTATCAGTAGGCATAGCGGACAGGCTGCGGGTTGACGGTGTCGCCCTCTTGTCCGTGAATGACATGGCCAAACACGGTCTCTATGGCCCGGAGATTCGCCGCCAGCGAGATCTGGTTCCACAGCAAGACACTGTAGAGTTGGTTCGCTCCAATCAGCACATCCACAAGACCAACTGCGAAGTTGTCCGCCAGCAGCAGGCGCGGTTCAAAGAGCACTGAAGGTGGCCGAGCGGGGGTGGGTTGAGAGCACAGACGATCAGTCTTCCAAAATTCGAACTCATGAGGGTCTCCGCCATGACGACTCTTGAGTAGCATTTGCACTTTCTGGTACTCACGTAGCTCCTCACCTCTTTCTTGAAATCCCATGCAGGCAAACGTCTCCGTCCCAACCACGGGTAGCCCGAGCAGTTTCGCCACTGATGATCTGACGTAAGACGCATCAGACCCACCATCCAGCGGGACCCTCAGCATACAGGATCCTCTTGTTCCAGACGCCTCCACCAGAGCCGTTTGCACAAAGCAAGGGTTATCACATGCGGTCACGTTATTGCATTGTCTAAAGCCAGAGGCGAAGTTTGGCTGACTGCCAGGTGGGCTGACTAGCTGTTCTGGCCGAGCTGGGTCTAAGCATAAAGCAGGCGAAGCATGCTGTAGAGGCTCAGCACGGGCATCAGCAGAGGCAGCAAAAGCAGCATAGGGGGGGGGGGGGGGCTCAACTCCAGCAGGTACACATAAGCAAGTGCTGCCTGGTGAGATGCAGCTGCAGAGCGACCACCAATGTCTGGTAATGGTTGCTGCCATGATGCCGCAGAGCTGTGATGCAGGCTGGAATGATGGGGTCCTCCGCATGCGGGACAATTCATGCTGTTGCATGCCCGGACGTGGTGGGGGCCAAGACATTTAAAGCACGCTCCAGCTCTCTTCACAGTCTCCCATCTCTCCCGCACAGCTTGCCTCTTATACACGCTGCACGCTAAGAGTCCATGTTTCCTGGCATGGCAGGCAGCGCAAGTCTAGTTTTCACGCAATCTGACACTACGTTCTAGCTGGATGCTCTGGCTAGCAGACAGGCATCTTTCTTGGTGCGACAGAAGGCCACTTACTGTTGTCGGACCAACTGGTCTGGTTTGGTAACATGCTGTCCCAGATGACTTCTGCCCAGCCCTGGATGCTTGCTCATGAACAGCCATCTCCTTTTGCAGGAAGTCGAGAAAGTCATCCATGCTGCTTCCCGTCTCCAGTCTTAGCCACTGACATCTCCAGGTCTCTGGAATCTTATCTAGGATCATGGGAACTAGCAGCTGTTCGAACATGTCCGAGGTTACACTCACACATTATAGTCCTCGGACATCAGCAGTGAGACCATCAACTAGCGCACGTAGTGACATAAGGTCCCTATCATTTGGCACTGGTGAGATATCCATCAGCCTCTTCATCAGGGCCTCTCTCCTCCGTTCCTCCTGGCAATATCTCTCAATGAGTATCTTGATGGCGAGGTTGTAACCTGACTTGCTCACTGGTATACCTTCAATTGCTTTCAGTGTACCACCACAAAGCACACCTCTCAAATAAACGGACTTTTCTACACTTGAGTAACTCTTGTCTGTGTGAACAGACACCTCATAAAGCCCCCAAAACTCTGGCCACTTCATGAAGTCCCCATCATACTTGGGCAGCATAATGTCAAGCTTCACTATCCCACCCTGAGCTTCCTTTGACTGTTCCAGGCGAGCCAATGCCAGCTTGCTCTTAAATATTGCGGCAAACAAATCACCGAGGTGACTAGAATCCTCTTTTCCCACATCCTCATCATGTGCACTCAACTGCTGCTGCATATCCTTCAACTCAGCCTCATGTCGCTCCGCCTGGGCTACTGCTAGAGCAAAATCATCAACATCACAATCATCTTCCAGGTGGATAAACTCTTTCAGCTTATTGATGAGTTTCGTAGCCTTACCTCTGGCTGAAGTTCTCAGTTTCTTCAAAGCTTCGATGTGTTTTGTATCCTCTTCATGCATCTTCAGTCTTGAATTGGTAGGAAATCCACAACGAAACACCACAACTTATCGTTAGGTTCGACTTCAACGGCAGCAATGAGAGCAATTATGGGCAGCTCTCAATCCGGCCAGGAGGACTATGGTACTTCAATCAACCCAATCGCAATTTCAATCGTGTCAGTTCCGAGGACCGAACCACAGCCGTCCCGCACGCACACGCAACCCGGTCCACATCCCGACAGGTAATGCATTTTCAAACCTGGCGCGCATCCAACGTTGCCTCGGGTGTCAATGCCACCAAAGAAAAGTGGCGGCATTCATCACGGAGACTACGAAAATCCCCTGCGCGGTGAACAACGGCTCAAAACAGCGCAGCTTTGACCATACAGACAGCATGTTTACGTGGGGGCATCGCGCGAGAATTTCGTCGCTACAAGTCATGGCTCTGCTATCGTACGGTTAACTAGGTCATGGTCAGAGTTACAGAGGTGGTGGTGGTCCTTTGATATGAAATGAAAACGAGCGCCGAAATGCTTATTTTCATGTTGCTATGCCGCATGAGATGCTTAAACAAAATCGAAAGAGCGAGTTGATACGGGAAATAAAGGCATTTGCTCCACTTTTTTTGCACTGAGTTCAAAGTTGGGTTGCGAAAAAAGCAATGGTTCTCCACTGAATGTAGAAACGTCACCAGTCCTTTGATTCACACTGTCATCCCATCTCTTCCTGACGACAGTGAACTCAGGTTTTCTGAAATGTCCGAGATAGCCGAAACGTCGTTGGTTATGGTTCGGCTTCGTGAGCGTGTTCTACTCTGCAGCAACTTTTGCGGCTACGGAAGCGTCTTGTCTTGAACCATCAAAATCTTATTGACCCGGATTTGACAATGTGGAAATTCCACATACACGTGTGGAACATGAGGAAGTTGTTTCACCGCCAACTGAGACGTAACGACGTAACGTAGCGACGTACTTGAGACGTAAATATTTTTGAAGGTGTATTCACATTGCCCTTTCATGAGACTGTCCTTAGTGAACGGGGAAACACGCTGAAGCTAATTTTCGATAACAAATCCGATCGACTTAACCTACAATGGCCTTTTGGCTTGGCCGATTCTGAACCACTATCTGGCGCGAAATCTGATGATGACTTAACCGCATGTCGTGACTGAGCGGCCAGAAGGGTCCACGAGTTTACCAGAGTTTCTTGGACTGCTAGACGCTGTTACGGTATGGTCAGAATCATATATGTTTTCGTGATTGCCGGTGACAAGTTATTTAGATGGCTCATTCGGTGAAAATGACAGCATATCGTGCGATTTTCTGTTGCTTGTGAAGATTGTCTAACCTCCGGAATATCTGGTCGAATTATGACCAGAGTGACATAACGAGAGGGCTTTGGCACCCACAGATCGGAGTCAAAAGTGCGGATTCATGTAATGTTACGCTCATGCAATATGTGGCTGGTAGTAATATCCCTTCTGCATGTGCGTTGTGCGTGTGTTTAAGTATCTGTGCTCGCTGTATGTCTTAGCCATCGCCCTGATTCGCCGTTTTGCATAACTCGGACTGATAGGGGGAGAGAGGGTTGATGTGACCCTCCCCCGGCGTTCCAAAGCTTATAATGTTTAAAGCTTGCCGAGAACAGCAATATATTGTTCTGAGCTCGATTTCACGATTGGTACTAATTTTTATGTTGTTGGCAGGTCAAAGGTCGAATTTTACAGAAAACCGCGCTTTGTAGCTTTATTTTATGTTTACGAGAACAAGCCTTGCATTGACACGAACCTTAAACTGGCATGTGTCTTGTTCAATTCTGAGCACGTTCTGTTGTGCGATTCTCTTGCCGCCCGCCGCCTGAGCCAGCCATAGATCGCCGTGGAGTGCTCATCACAAACAGCCGCTGCTCCGAAACCGGAAAGTCTAGAAACACGTTTTGGTATCAAAACACATGCCATAGTCAACGCCTATCATGGCGAGGGCTAAGCGTTTTGCTAATAATGTTTTGCAAAATGTTTCGCTCATTTTGCTAATAACTGAAGCCATAGCGTGCAAAACAAGAAAAAAACAATGCTTGTTTCCTTCATTCATTGCTTGCTCCTACCTTGACCTTACGCTGACCCCGTTCCAAAAGAAAGTCTCCCGCAACGAGTTGAGATCTGTCCACGGGCTGACGCGGAAAGGTTCAGATGCTCGCGAAACTTTCCCCGTCCGAACAACGAGAACATTTTCATTGACGCGCCAGACTGTTCGTACGCGCTTGGAGAGGTTGGCGCGGCTGAAAATGGCGCGAACGGTAGGATGTTCGACCAAGGCAACCGATCGCTGTTATCGCGTATGACAAACTGCAGTGAACACATAAGACCGAAGAAAGTATGACAAATATACGGGCAGGTAGTTTGAATATGATCATCATAGTTTTTAATATGTTCAGCTCCTTTCACTTTTTCCCTAAGTCTTTGAGGATGGATGTAGCAGCACACAGTGCGCTCACGGCAAGCCCAGTGTGTGGGGAATGTTACAAATGTCCTTGAAACGGGAGATGCAAGAGTGTAGGCGTTAGGCGACAAGCAGCCGATCGCATATAGCGACACCGAGACAAATGTCAGAGCATGATGTTATTGTTGGCATTTAGCAGATACGTGTTCGGTAGGCAGTAGGGTGGCGGCAGGTTCAGCCATTTAATTTGATTTCTCCGCCATTTTAGGCGGAGGCAGGTTTTATCTCATGCATGTCTCGGTTGAGATGACAGCATACCGTGCATTTGTGTTTCTTCTCACATTTTTTTTCTTCTTGTCTCCGTAGTATCATGCCAAGTTGTGAACGGAGTTATATAACGGGAGATATGTGACACCAGAATAAGAGTGCGAATGTGGGAATTCACATCATGTAATGCTATGTAATGCTAATTCATGCATGTCATGTTATGCTAATTCTGCGTGTGCGATGTCGTACGCATATGTAAGTACCTACTCTCGCGGTCTTACACATTGCCCTATTACTGCATCGCATATCGGCAATGATGTTTCGTGAAAAGATGATCCTTATTTTGTCGACAGTTGCAACCATGAGAGGCAAAAATGTTTGCTTACTTCCATCTTTACTTGCTCCTTGTTTCATTTTTCATTTCACACTGAGCACGCCTCCGAAAACCAACTTCTCCGCGACAAGCCGCGATCTGTCTGAGGTCCGGTGCTGGACGAGTACGGTGCTTGAGAAACTCAAAGCGGGAAACGTCCCGGCCGACCAATTATGAATGCCATTAGAACATCTTCATCCACACGTCGAGCTTCACGCGGTTGACAACAGGCAGGCTGGCGCGAATGAAAATGGCGCGAGCGATCAGCTGATCGACCAAGGCAGCTGATGGTCGTAACCGCGTAAGTCAAAAGCCAGTGAACCAGACTTCACATCAGGCCAAGGGAAATACAACCACGATACAGGTATATATACATACATACATATATATATATATATATATATATATATATATATATATATATGTACACATATTATGGATATGGTAACTATAGTTTTTAATATGCACAGTTCGTTTCATTGTTTTGCTACGTCCTTGGTAATGGAGGGAGAAACACCGTGTGCTCGGGGCAAAGCAAGCAGAGAGCACTTTCAACGGTGCTTATCGCAAATGCTCTTGAAACGGGATGAGCGATGCAGTATGCAATAGGCGTTTGGCAGCGGGCCGTTTGAAGCAACACAGCGTGCCTACCTGTTCGAGTGCGTACATGAACCGCTGATGGGTACTTGTTGACTTGAAGGCAACAGCGCTTGGAGCCTGCGTGGGGAGAGTTTAGAGGCAGCATGGCTCAGTACACATGTCTCGCGCAAAGGGAGCGCCAGCTACAAAGCATGTACAGACAACACTTTCCGGAAGATAGAATTGGGTTTCGCAGTCATAAACACAGCACGGTATATATTCATATGCACACCAAAATGACATAAATGGGACCTACGCGAGAAGCCGATTTACAAATTATGAAGAAAGAACGGGCTTCGATTTGAGGCGATGAGGCTGTCAGGTGTGTCTTGCAACCGACCTTGACCAATGGAGGATCCAATGTGGTGGGGGGTGGGGGTTTGATGGGGCTGTACCCCGTGTCTCTTAAGGTGAGGGGGCAACAAAATATAATGGTGAAGGGGCAGCAAAATCTTCATTTCGTATCCACATAACCTTTTTTCAAAATGCCCCTAAATTTTACGGGCACCATAAGTGACCACAAATATTTCTTTTCAATAGGCACTGAAATCCGGGTACACCATAACCGGCCCAAGCCTTCATTTTCTGATGGCACCAAATTTGAGGGATACAGCAGTGTTGCGCCCTTCTGCCCTGATTAAATCCTGGATTAGATCCTTGGGCTAGGGGGCGCCGAAATAGTCAGTTTGGAGCACGATAACTTTCATTTCACGTCACCGTAGCCTTTATTTTAAAGAGCCCTCTATCTAAAAAGGCAATTCAAATTTCCCAATGTTTTGTTTTGAACAACGTTTAAAATCCCTGAACATCACAATATCTGTGGCTTTCATCCTTGAAAAATTCTCGATCTGCCTGTTCCACGAGGTAGCACCAAAAAAACTTCAGTACCGGGTATCTTAGCTTTTATTTTCCAGAGGCACACACTTCCCAAGGCACCACAGAGCAGGGGCGGGTCCAGAGGGGGAGGGGCCATGGGGTCATTCCTCTCCCCCTTGGGCCCAAGGAGGTTTGGCCGACCTGAAGAGGCATCAAATCTCATCGCAAAGGGACAACGTATCTTAATTTCGGAACCACATAACCTATATTTTTATGATACACCAAATTGCAGGGGCACCACGACGTTCGTGCCGCGGTCTCGACAAAACCCTGCGTCGGTCCATGCAGCGAGCTAACACCACATCCTTCATTTCGGGGCAACATAACCTTTATTTTCAAGAAGCACCCAATTCCAGAGAGTACCAGAAAGGGCCTTAACCCTTTATTCTGAAAGAACAATTAATTCCAGGGGCATAACTATGTTGAGCTTTCCGCCGTGATAGAATCCTGCATGGAACCCTTGGGCAAGGAGGCACAAAAACCATACTTGCAGGGCGACATCAAGCAGTTCATTTCTTCGATTAAGAACGTTTTCAACGGGAGTGGCTTACCAAAATGACCTGGTTGGGTGAGCGAGGAAAATGCAACGAAGAGTACCGTGATAATATGCCAACGAATTGGTTTCTCTCCGAATTTGGCTCACTTTTTCACAAATCCGCAGGCTGCGACCCAAGTTACGGAGGGGGATGAAACCCCTGCAACTGAATATCGAACCGCACTCCAGGTTGCAAGTCAATAGAAAGTAAAAAGCAAACATTGACTGTGAATGTGTTCGACTGCCTGCCAAACGTCACTCAAAACACTACGCACGTGTCGCGCTTAAAGGCGCTGTTGATTCACCATCTGAACAGCGGAGCAGAGTGTATGTCACTGAGCTGATTTGCGATAGATAACCTGAATTGATTGGAAAAATGGTAAGTTTGTATTCGCCATCCACTTCATCATTCTTGACACACTTTCTTCCGTTTACGCTTCAGAACCTCCTAAGTATAGAATTTGGGGTCCAGCAACACCAGTCTGGAGTTTATCGCGACGGGTGCAGTTCGCGCCGCAGAGGGGCGATGGTGGCGTGGTGGCTAGTGGTTAGGGTGCTCATCTCTGAACTTTTCTATCCTGGGATGGAGTCCTGGCTACACCACTACCGCATCCCGCGTACCTAATGCCTGATAAATACGTAATAGAGGCGTTCCGCCCCGAAAAAGCAATAGCAGCCGGTGAGACGTAAGGCCCCATGGGTGTCACAGCCCGTCCCGACAAACAAACCGCTGCCTGCCAAATTTGCAGACAATGCTTCAGTCCAATCACCGTACATATGTGGGAATAATAATGTGCAATTGGTTGGACGCGGAGCTCGGACACACAGGCCAGCCCAGAGGCTGCGCAGCTCGACAGTCCGGCGGGCATCTACACCAGCGGCGGGCCGGCGGACGAGGCAGCTCGGCCGCCAAATGAAGAACGCATTCACGCACACGCCGTTCCTCGACCGAGAGCGGAACCCCACCGCACGTGCGTGAGGCCTGTCCGTGGGGCAGCCCGTCCGCGGTCGAAGCACTGCCAGCTCAGTCGGGCACGCCGCCATCTTAGCGTCAGAGCCCGAGGCCCCTGACTCGGTTTCACCCGGCTCGCCGCGGTACACATCCCGGCGGACCGGACATCAGGACATGTCGGACATCCTGGGATCTCGCTCGTTCTGTACCGAAGCCCTGCTCCTCCTCCTCCTCCTCCTCCTCCTTCTTGACGGGCACCTAAATGGACGAGCCTCGTGTCAGTCAGGAACCAGCACCGGACAGTGTCCCTCTGCCCGTTTTCTCTACTGCCCAAATGCACCGAACTGACATCCTTGTGCTATTTATTAAACCCACTACGCTTGGGAACTTCTTGGGTCGGTGAGTGGCCCCGCGTACATCCAGGGTCAACCATCCCGTTCAGAGGGCCTTAGGCGTGAGAGTGGGGACCAATAGATCATGTGTATTAATAGTAACCGATTGGAAATCTGAAAGGGAACGGAAATATCCTTCAGCCCCAAGGGGAAATGCATGGGATCTCAAGTCTTGCCTGGAAACTCTATTGAAGTCTGGCTGCTGAAGGGGGGAGGGGGAACTGGGAGAAGGGCGAGGGGTTTAGAAACCCCCGCGAGGAGCTGTTTTTGGACTGTGAAGTCCAAAAACTGACCATACTGAATGAGAAAGGCAAAAAATATTGCCAGTTACAAACTCTGACAATGCCGTAGCAGCGTCTAGCAGTCCAAGAAGCTCCCTCTGGTAACCTCGTGGACCCCCTCTGGCCGCTCAGTCGGGACTTCCTGGTCGCCAGGAATACATTTAAAGGTCCTTACAGCTACTTAAACCCCTGTTGCCCTTCAAACCATGGACACTAAGTGAACTGGAAAACTACTAGGATACCCCGGTCGCTCAGGAGTCGCATTCACCGCTCAGGTACCTTCAGTAGCGCACACAGGAGATGTACGGGGGCCCGCGCCTCGCCCCTTCTCGCCCAAGGGCTCTGGGGACATACAATTTGAGACCCGGTTCGTTGCTTCGAATGGCCCGAAGGGCTCGGTGGAGATCGCATTAGAAATCCCGGCCCTTCGGCCCGGGTCCGCATTACCGGTACTATTTGCGCATAACCGGTATTACAAAAGCTGACATATGTAGGTATGTATGTGGCTCCGAAGGGGCCGAAGGGCGACGACTAAAGAGCACATCCATCTACAGAGCACAGGACCACCGAGACAGGAAAACGTGTGAATCCATTCTTATTAAAAGTGGGCAACCAGATCTCGACATACAGGGCTCATCATGGCCGATTATGCGAACGTGATATGTGCCTTTACGTGTGATATGTGCTAACTTAAAATCGTTTACATGTGTAAGCGATGCCTGACACGTGACATGCGATGCCTGTTCAATTGAAATCGCCTGCATGTATAATTTATGGGCGATATGTGATGCCTGTTTACTTCAACTTGTTTGCATATCTAAATGAAGTGTGATGCGTGATGCTCATTTGTTTGAATTTGTTGGTATGCACATGTATGTTCGCGCTTTAATTCTTAGACAGGCACTGCAGCGTGGTAATTGCTGGCAGTCACTCTTTGATTAATCCCCTGAATGTTGGCGTCCTGCAAAAACTACAGTTTGCTGGTTAAAAAAAGGCCTGAAAAATCAAGTAGGATCATCGGCAGGGAATCCACAATCCTGCCATTGTTTTGATAAAGATGTGGTGCCAAAATATCAACACAAATAAATCTCCATTCTCCAGATTTTTCTCCCAGGGATAGGGCTAATACCAATGTATTATCTAAGCACGAGATAATTTCAAGTTTACAAACCGAGGCTACTAGAGGAGTCTACGCAGACATGACGTTACCATGGGACTAAAGTTTGGTAGCCCGCAATGTGGTTTTTGGTTGATGCTACAAAAAGGTTGGTGCATACTAGTCAAGTGATATTGTAATTTGCAGTTCAAAACTTCTGAAGACAACTCAATACTAGCATCTGATTTCCCCCCAAAAAACACTAAACCACGTGTTCTAGCTCCAGCACCCACGCCATAATCGTCGAAGCCAACGCGCGTGAATATCTATATGTAATGCGCTTTTTATAAGATAAGTATTTGTACATCAATAAATCACCATCACATGTAATATTAACGTTACATTAATAGGCAATGATTGCGCATATCTTCGTCCTGCAGTACCGATATGAAGTGAACTGTGAAAATAAGGTTTTGTGAGGAGGACTGGTGCCAAAAATTTCGCTGTTGCTATCCTATGATCTTCCTGGATTTTGGTTGAAATACTAATCTGTAATGTTGGATAGGTTAGATAAAAATGGTGCACAGAGAATAGCATCCCCAGCGCCCTAAAATATATTTATTAAACTATTTCCTAGCTAAGATATGCGCTGCGGCCTCTTGACTGGCAGAGATGATAAAACTTGCCAGAAACCGGCCCATTTTACAGGAAAAATCCTCTATCTTGAACTGAAATGGCACGCACAGCATTTAAGCCCCCGGGGCTCACCACTCACTACCCCCAATAAGGGCAGACCAACCCTGCATCCCCCCTGTCCACGCTCTCTCTAAGGCTACAGGATGCGTATTCCAACTTCTCAATAGGCGTCCCAGGGTGCTGCGAGCCCGCCGTATTTCATTTCCACCCAACATTGTTGCTGTTGTTGCATGTTGTACTCTTTTCCACAGGCTGTTTCAAAGGACTTCCGGCTATAGCTTTTCTGTGATAAATCACTGGTGAATGGGTGACCCCATCTGTCTGTCGGGGGCAGGCTGGAAGTGCATTTCAGCAATAATTTTGTGGATCTGGTGCAAACCGACGCCATTTCTCGGCCTAAAATGTTACATTGAATGAGCTAGGTCGAACAAACTCGGCTCATGGAAATATTTATGTTTAAACCAGCTCGCAAAGAACAGCGTTTTCACAACGCCATAGTGTTGGCGCCATGTGACTTAGCCCCATGATGACGTCACAGTATCGCTGTCCAGAATGAAGTAATGCGGGGCTTGTTTACAAACGTACTACGAATTCAACTTTGTCCAAAATTGTCATTCCAGAAAATGTCCAATGAAAAATAGAACGTTGAGGACTATAAGTAATACCAGGCCATGCAATATGACAATCTATATCATCTTTGTAGCATGAACTGTGGTGACATCTTCAACGACCAGCGAGAAGAACCAAAACCTGTCATCAGATTTGTCCAGAAAGCATCCGAAAATTTCATCACTGCTAAGACTGATGTGATGCTTAACAAAACATATATGAAGAACAATCTGCTTTGCGTATGTATATTGAAATATATATATATATATATATATATATATATATATATATATATATATGAGTACATTTTGCTAATCAATAGGCATGCGGTTAGGTCATGCATCAGACTTCGCGCCAGGAAGTGGTCCAGAACCGACCAATACAAAAGGACATTGTGGGTTAAGTCCATCTTATTTGTTATAGCAAATTAGCTTCAGTGTGTGTGTCCCCGTTCACTAAAGACAGACTCATGGCAGGGCAATGCGAATACAACTTCAAGAATAAGCATGTTTCAAAAACACCGCCACGCCAAATGCCTCATGCATCATATATGCTTTCGTGATTGACGGAGATAAGTTGTTTAGATGCCTCTTTCGCTGAAAATGACAGCGTATCATGCAATTTTTTGTGTCGCGTGAAGATTGTCTAGCCTCCGCAATATCTGGGCACATTACGACCGGAGTGACATAACGGAAGAGCTCTGGCACCCGCAGATCGGAGTGCAAATGTGAATTCATGTAATGTTACGTTCAGGAAATATGTGGTCGATAGTAATATCCCTTTTGTATGTGTGTTGTACGTATGTTTAAGTACCTATGCTCGCCGTACCATCTGCAATGCTGTACCATGTACTAACCATGGTCCTGATTTGCCGTTTTGCATAACTCGGACTGATAAGGGAAAAGGGGGTTGATGCGAACCTCCCCGGCGTTTCCAAGCTTATCAAGATAGAGCTTGCCGAGAGCACCAGTATATCGTTCTGAACACGATCGCTCGATTGACATTAGTTTTATGTTGTTGACAGGTGAAAGGTTGAATTTTTTTCAGAAAACCGCACTTTGCAGCTTTACTTTATGTTTACGAAAACAAGCTTTGCGGTGACACGAAACTTAAACTAGGGTGTGTCTTCTTCAATTCTGAGTGCGTTCTGTAAAACAATTATGTTGCCGCCCGCCGCCCGAGCCAGCCATAGATTGCCGTCGAGTGATCACAAACTGTCGCTGCTCCGAAACCAGAAAATCTAGGAACGCGTTTGGGAATCAAAACACGCGCCATAATCACTGTCTATCACGGCGAGGGTTAAACGTCATGTTATTGCTGCATTGGATATCGGCAGAGATTTTTCGTGAAAGGGTATTCCTCATTTTGGAAATAACTGACACCATAGCGGGCAAAACAGGAAAAAAACAATGCTTGCTTCCTTCCATATTTTCTTGCTCCTAGCTTGACCTCACGCGGGCCCCGTCCCAAAAGACCAAGTCCCTCGCAACAAGGTGTACTCTGTCCGTGGGCTGGCGCCGAAAGGTTCCGATGCTCGCGAAACTTTCCCCTTGCAAACAACTAGAACATTTTCATTGACGCACCAGACTTTTCACACGCGCTTGCCGACAGACAGGTTGGTGCGAATGAAAAAAAAAAACGGGATGGGCGATTGAGTATGCAATAGGCGTCTGGCAGCGGGCAGTATGAAGCAACACAGCTTGCGTGCCTGTTCGCCTGCGTACCTGAACCGCTGATGGGTGCTTGTTGACTTGACGGAAACGTGCACTTAGAGCCTGCGTGGGGGAGAGTTTAGAAGTAGTATGGCCCAGTACACATGTCTCGTGGAAAGTTGCGCCAGTCACACGGCATGTGCCAACAACACTTTTTGGAACATAGAATTGGGTTTTGCAATCATAAACACAACACGGTATATACGCGGATGCACACCAAAGGGACATACATGGGGCTTACGCGTGGAGCCGAATGACAAATTGGGAAGAAAGAACGGGTTATGATTTGAGGCGATGAGGTCGTGAGGTGTGTCTTGTCAAGCGACCTTGACCAAGGGCGGATCTAGATTGGTAGGGGGTGGGATGGGATAGGGCTATACCCCCCATCTCTTGGGGCGAGGAAGCAACAAAATGTCGTGGTGAAGAGGCACCAAAATATTCATCTCGGATCCACATAACCCTTATGTTCAAA